GAGGGCGCCGCCGAGGAGCGAGTGGCCGCGGGCAGCGCTGGCAGCGCCGGTCGTTCGCTGCCTAAGGCGTTTCACGGAGCAGGTGCGGTCTAACGCCTTGAGAACGCACAGAGAGGCGATCGCACTGGAGCAGCACAGTGACGTTCCCCAGTCCAGCATCTTTTTCTTTATATTGGCAAGTTAATGGGTTTCAGGGGAAAGGGTAACAAATTTCTAGTAGGAAATTTTGTAAGAATTTGTACTCAAGAAAAGTTTGTTTTTGCCACAGTATTTGTGGTCTGAGCATGTGCTGAGGCATTATATCTATGGCCAAAAATCATGCCTTTATTTTAAGTTATTACAGCTTCTTCCTGCAATGCTTAAAGTACTTTATGTAATGTTCTTCTGCGGGAGCTACATCTATATGTAAGGAAGGCCTGAATCCCGTGAAGTCCTTTCCCTGCGTTCTAAATACCTGACACACACGTTCTTCCAATCAATTTCTCTGAATGAGTTTGGCACTCTCCTTTGTGTTTTCCTGATTGTGTAGAGCCAGGAATCATTCAGCGAGGACTCCGCGTGTAGAAATGCAGCACCAGATGAATATACAACAAGCACTGTTGTAATGAAATACATGTTAATAAATTATTCTATTTGTGTAAAAAGAGATTGATGTTTCTGTATATCCAGATGGGATCCCACTTACGCGTTGGCAGAGGGGAAATGACTTTTTGGAATAGCCCTCCATCCACTGATATGTGTGAAATACATAAAAATGGACAGATGGGATAAATCTTTGTATCCACTTTCAGGTTTTTCCCTTACTTTCATAAACTGTCTAGATTTTCGATATGAAATTTAGAGCAAGATTATGTTTAGGATTCTTTTAATGTTGAGAATAGCTGAATTAGGAAACAGATGGTTTAGGAGTTGCTCCCAAAGCATAGCGATGTTGCTATACTGGCCATGAGAACAAAGTCTTAGAGCTGAATCAAGCTTCAAGCCTCTAACAAGGTAGGTAAAAGCTTTAAAAATGGTCTGAGAGAGTTGTGCCAGAAGCTGCTCTGTTTGTTCTGAATCCCTTGGATGAAACCAGCAGACATCCCTGATACCATCTCCCAAGGTTGAGTTTTGTCCAACT